TGGATACAGACCGTCCAGTCCTGGTGCCTTCTCACTTTTCAGTACGGCTATTCCGTACTTTATTTCTTCTTCTGAAGGGCGATCAAGGTTTACATTCCATTCGCCTGTGTGCATTACCTCCACTGGTTGTGTTGCATGAGGCCAGCTGAACTGCTCTTCGAAGTGTTCGGCCCATCTCTCCAGTCGACGTTTTCGCGAGCGAATTAATGAGCCATCTTTTTCATTTATCGTTTCCCTGACCGTTTCTTTTCTAGGGCCAGCCGATCGTATCAGTTGATAAAGGGCGTGGCTGTTTGCCGCAGCAAAAGCCTTCTCCATCTCCCGAGCTTTCGATGTTCACCAGAGCTCTCGGTCTTTCCTTAGACTCTTCACTATTTGGCGTCTGAGGGATTTGAGTGCGGCGTCGTACTCGTTGCCTGCTGGTATGGCTTTCCTGGCATCAGTCATGGATAACAACCTCGACGACATCCAGTGGTCCTGTAATCGAATTGGAGACGTCGGGCAGGCAGCACTGAACGCCACGAATATAGCTCGTTCACATTTTGCCCCGCTTCATCCACATGCTCACGGCCACCACAGTATTGCTTTACTGTGGAGAGCTGTTGGGCTGCTGTCGGTGCTACCCGCCTTCCAGGGAGGGGACCGCGTGATCCTCACCGTGCCTGGTTGGAGACTACAAGATATGGCTGCCAACCGATGTCAGTGGCGTCATTGTTGCCAGTTTCTATCCAGATTGCCTGAGTGAATGCCTGGAGGTGTAGGCACCTCGGAATGATTGTGGTAAGCTAGCACTAAGTCCCTTCCCCGTCCACCTTTACTCTTTTCTTTACAATAAGGCTTTCAAATAAATCATGGTCGTACGGCAGTGAAGTATCAGTGTTGAACACTGATGTCTTGCTGTTGATGATGATGACGACTAAAGTAGTTCTTCGAAGATACTGGATTGGCATGTCTCTTGATGACTTGCGAGGGCCTGAAGACGAACTGTCCTGATGTCATGCTGTTGATGATGATGACGACTAAAGTAGTTCTTCGAAGATACTGGATTGGCATGTCTCTTGATGACTTGCGAGGGCCTGAAGGGAAACGAACTGTCAAGCGTGCACGCACGATGGCACGATCGGAATAAAGTGGTGTGCCCCAGAAGGGACGAGAGTCTTGAATCGTGGCTCTCCACCAGTGGCTCATGGCCACGTGATTCAACTGGGTCCACGACTGATTTGAAGTTGATGGCCGCCAGGTTACGCCATGCGAACGTTTATGTTCAAAGTTCGTACCTACCAGAAACGGTTAATAATCAGCGCACAACTAGGGGAGTCGCTCTCCGTTGTCTGTTTGGCGAGCATGGACTCCGAATCGACCGACAAAATGTGATTCCAAGGAGCTTATTCGGACTAACTGAGCATTCATATCACCTGCAAAAAACACAATGTCAGTGCTTTTTTGCTTAAAGAATGAGCCCGGATAGCTCTCGACATAAAGTATCCTTCTCCGCATCAGAATTACAGTCCGTTGGGGCATGAGCCGACACGACAAACAGGCACTGCTTTTTATGCCGGGAGGCATTGAGCTTGATTGAACCGGATAGCCGGACGGCGCAGAGACGACTGTTCACTAGGATCCAATCCAGCAAAGCGCTCTCAGCTCTGGGGCTGAGTGCAACTCTCACGCGATATATTCCACCAGTCATCGCTTCTGGGTCACCGGACACACGGAGGAAGAAATGTGAAAGAGCTGAGTTCATCCAGAACCACGCTCGAGTACTGTATGCATGATTCGGAGACACAGCATACATCAATTTTAAGGGAGTACGAGGTTTCAGCAAGCAGTGCCTGTTTGCCAATTTGACATAGAGTACGGACGTTAAATCTCCTATATAGAAATGGTCTCGTGGATTTAGAAAGGTGTTATTTTGTTTATTTTTTGTAGGCAGCGAGGAGCATAAGGAACTTCGGTCAGATGGCTGACAGTCAAGTGGCCCAGCGACGTTTGCTTGTGCGGTGGGAAGGGGTTGGGGAGGGAAAACGGTGGACGCTGAGCTGCGCGGGCAAATGATACTTCCCGGTCGCCCAGGCCGAGAAACGGGGGTTGGTTGAGGTACCCCACCTTGAGCCTTCGACCCAAAAGTCTGACCCACAAGACAGTGGGAGAACGTAGGGTTTTGTTCGGGGACCCTGAATCTAGCCTCTGACTCAAAAGTCTGACGCACGAGACAGTGAGAGAATGTAGGATTTTCTTTGGGGACCCTGCCCGGAGTCTACGACTCAATAGCCTGACCTGCTCGGCTTCAGGGGGTTGGCCTAACCCGAGGGCGCAGAGAATAAGGCATTACTGTCTCATTCCTGATATGGCTGCTCACAGCAGCCTTTTGAGCAGCACTGGGCTTTTTGGCTTTAAAAGTATTTCGACCGTATTGGATAATGCACCGGCGGTTACGGTCAACCGTTGGGGGATCGGAGTGTGCGGTTTTGGGGCCGACCTTTTCTAGCCTGTCCTTTCTCGGGGGAAGGCAGCATCGCTGCTTACATAAATATGGACATGCTGGTCGCCTGGGGAGAACACTTACTGCCTTCACACTCCTGTCGCAGAGAACAGTACGACTTTAACCCTAGACCGCCTCGTACCAGGTTTACTCGTAGTGCGGGGTCTCACTGCTCCTGGTCTGGCTGCTCCCCTTTGGCCTTCCTGGCATGGTTGTGGAACGACGTTCCAGCCAGTTTAGCCCGCAGGATGATTGCAGCACTCAAGCCCGACCACCACGTCAAGGTGGCAGCTTTAGGTCGGGATAGCTGCTGGTTAGATTGTCAGGTAAAAGTAGGATGGGCGAGAATATGAAATTACCGGGATTCCTGTGTGAGTATGACTTGGGAGGTTGGTAAACCAAAGGGCCAGTGTCGCATAAAATAGGTTATTTTTTAGTTCGGATGCACCGCTCCGATACTTTGTGCAAACGTACTGCTAATCTATGGCGTACATACATTTTTGTCCACGTTTACAACTTTCAAAATTAATGAAACTGATACCAGACTATAACCTATCATGAACAAGTCACTTTTTTGTGCAACTGGTTTCCCATGACACAACCCTGACAATGTAAACATCAAATGTAAAGTTAAGGGAATTGAAAGGACTGCTGCTCAGTGACATAAATAACGAAGATTCACATCACCACTGGACACCAACGCAAACATTACACCTGAGTTTTTGCTGGTTTCGGAAGTTACTTGGTTTTGTTATCGGTCAGTATTTACCCTTTGTCTGCTGAACATGGCACACCTGGACGTTGTAACCTAGCCAACCATATTTCCTTCTATGAAACTTGTAATATAAATAACGCCCAAGATTAGTGCGAACGTCGCGAAAACGTGCAATGAAAACAGTACAAAAATCTTGCTAGAGGATTTCATGTCCAAGTAAAAAGTCGTTGCTAAACTTCTCTGAAAAAAGTCATTGCATACGACGCTTATATTGTGTCTGTAGTTGTTTACTATCACAATCCAGCTTAGACTGCACCTGCAGGTCAAATTACACATTAAATCTGTAAGTGCGATTTGGAAATTTAACGATACGCCAACGGTGCAGCTCCATGTGCAAAATAGTTGCTGCGCAAGTACCTATAACGAAAAAATCCATCACAGTGAACAAAGTAAAGTGCTCCATTCGCATACAGCTCTACGTCGGAAGCACTCAGAAGGTTTTTTACTGCTCGAAGATATTACTCATTTGGTGGTTCCACTCTAAACGAAACCAGAAATATACAAGGGATAAACAAAAGTTTACTACTACTATGTTCAGTAACATGGCAATATTTATAGTGAGAATGTT